TTTGTAAAAAATAATCAATTTCTTTTATGACTTTTTTCTTTTGTATAATTTTGATTAATTTAGGAACTATTTTGTATTATGGTATTAGATTTAAGGAATATATTATATTTGAAGAAGAATTAGTAACTGGAGTTAGCTAAGACAACAACTGAGTTAAAATAAGGTGAATAATGTAAAACAGAAGCCATTCATTAATTTTATACAAAATATTATACATTGGATAAATAAAAACTAAAAATATAGACTTGAAAATAAGTTTTCCGAATCATTTTGTTTAAGGAAGTCTTCTTTTATGGTAAAAAAACAATAACAAAAATTTTATGAATCTTTTAATTTAAACTAAGGGTTTTTTTCGAATTTGAATCATGTACTTTTTAAATTTTTTTAATTGACACTCAATTTTTTTTTTAATTTCATTAAAACTTTCTATTCTTCGATACTTTTTTACTTCGGACTCTCTACTAATATTTTCAATCGGCAATCAACACATGGCATTATAAAGTAAAAAAATCTCAAAGAGGTGTTGATCGTTGATTGGTGGAATTATAACAAATAGTTTGAAGTAAAAATTTTTGAAAAGTAAATAGTCTCAATTAAGTAAAAACAAAAAGTAGATGATCTCAATAAAAAAATTAAAATTAAATAATATAGGGTCCAAATATAAGAAAAACCCTTTAAATGAGTAATAATAATGTAAAGCAATAACCTAGGATTTTATATATCAAATAATCTAGGATCTACTTTAATAATATGATGTAATTTTATTATTTTTCATATTTTAATTATTGAATTTTTTTAAAAAAATCTATTTTAAAGAAATTTTTAGAGTTTTGATAGCCAAAATAGAATATCAATGAATTACTGATAAAAATGAGTGATTTAAGAAACTTATTTTATATTATTTAAGATTTTGTGTGATAGATAAATATACATATAAGAAAAGTCGGATTAAAGTATGTTTTTAAGAATTATATTAAATTTTTAGTCTCTTTCTTAATAATTACATAGAGATTTGAATTACATGTTAGTACTGTATAGTTATATACAAAAAAATAAATATTCTCCTACTAAAGTTCTATTAATACATATGATGATTCTTAAAATTTTAAAAATATTATTTTTGATACAAATGTTTCGTCACCAAGATCATGCTTTTATATATAGTTATGGATTGACAATTCGACAAAGCAAATCAACAAGTAAATTTAGGTAACCGTAGTTCCAATAAGTTTTTTCTCTCTTTTTCTTGTTACAAATGAGAGTTTCAAATTCAAGATCTCTTTAAACAAAAAATTTTAAAAAAAATAAAAAAATTGGACACCGGTATCAGGTAATCCACAATTCATTGACAAATTTCATTAAACTAAAAATACAATTAATAGTTACCATGAAGGATACCGTTTTCATTTCTATTTCTATTTCTATTTTTATTTTTTTATTTTTCTTAATCACTTAAATCACATGAAATTTAATATAATTATCCATTAAAACATATGGCTCAATTTAAATAGCTGGATTACCAAGTGATGGGTGCTCTAAAATTAGTTGAATTAAAAATGAAGAAAAGTCCTTATTTCATCAATACGAGGACCGTGGCCATTTGACATATTAGGCACGAAGCTTAAGAGGCCGAATGCTATGAATGAGTTTGATATAATATAAAAACCCAAGCACTAAACGTAAAGCCCATTGACAGCTGTGCTTACTTTTTGCTTCTTCAACATGGCTTAGAACTTCTTCAAGAACTGTTTTCATCGAGCTTGTTATTTATTCCAAGGCCTGAATTTAATCTATTCTCATCTTCCTTTAATGATTGTGTCTATATGTGTTTTTTTTTTCTTCAAAACAATCATTCTCTTTTAAGACTTTATATATATATATATATATATATATATATAACATTTTGATAACTTTAAAAACTCTTTTGTAATTTGGTATTACAGTTAAGGACTATATTATAAATATGAAGAAGAATAAGTTAGTAAACCAGATTTAGCTAATCTTTGACCAGAAATTACTACATTGAATTGGTCAACTATTTAAGATTATGATTTATGAACCAAACTAATAGAACAATCATATTTGTCAAAATCATCTATACCACTGAAGGTTACAAGTGAAGTGATAAGAAAAGTATTTTGTATTCATCAGATCAAAAGTTTGATTCTCATCATTTTAAAGCTCCTTCCTCTTTTTTGTGTAACACTAAACATAAGCTGATGGTGGGATCAAAGAATGTAACTCTTAAAATTGATAAAAGACTAGAGGTGATCTAGCACTAACTTAACCTAGAATATAGTAGATTTAGTTTCGGAGAAACTAGTCCGAGAATATTATAATACCTTCCTATATATAAGGAATGAAATAATTCGTAATGCATCCATCACAAAATAATATGGACAAATTCAACCATGTTTAGAAATTATATTGATCTAGTCCATGATGTTAATGGTGGATAATATTTGTGTAATAACGGATTTATAAATCCATTAAATAGATTTTTAGGTTGAAGCCATATCTCGAGTGGAATCGGACTATTTATAGTTTGAAATCTTAGTACGACTCGATGACATCCTTAGTGATGAAGTTGGCACAAACAATCGGGATGCCTATAGATCCATCGGTCAATCGGCAATCTACCGTTCCTTTCACATAGTTTTCGTTTCGCCTCTAGCTGATCCTCCCGTCGAGCCCTCCACACGGTATCGGGAGGAGGATATGAGATTAGAAGAGTAGGATGAGTGATAGGACATTTAGTCACTTTTTTTTTTTTTTTAATGAAACGTACTCTAGAATGGTATTGTTAATATTATTTCATTTTTAATATATACGTTGTTACTTATAATTGTTAATTATTAAATATAATATTAATAATTAAAAAATAATTAAAAAATTATAATAAAATAAAATAAAATTAGCAATAAACTAGCGACGAACTATCGATAAGTTCGTTTTCAAACGACAACGGAATAGCGATGGACTAGCGACAAATTCATAATCAAACTTAGCGATGGACCGACCACAAAATAGAGATAGAATAGCGACAAATTATGTAGTGATGGAAATAGCGACGAAATAGTTATGGAAGAAACGACAAATCTCATGACAAGATTAGCGATGGATTTTTTTTCTTATTAGCGACGGAAAGTTTCTCTCTACACGTTGCAATGGAATGAATTTTTCATTGTAAAAAGTTAGCAACAAACGAATTAGCGACGAAAATTTTTCAGTTGCTATTACATCGCTAATAGAGATTAGCGACGAAATATTCCATCATTAATTAATTAATTAATTAATTTTTATTTATTTTTTTTTTTTGTAGTGATGGTTATAGTGATGAGTCATCAACGATACAAAGACAATTAGAATTTATGAATTTTCTTTATGTTAATTATTTTTGGCTAAAAAATGGAATTTAGTGTATATTATTGGTTCAAGTCATCAACTATTCTACAATCACATTCTACGTTATGATTCAGATAATATATAAACTCACCTCTTCTAATGTAATATTTAAAAAATCTTACTACGATGATTCCTTTGAGCGTATCTCCAACCTCAATTTTGTTTCTCTTAAATAATTTTTAATTAACCATTTTTTTATTTAGAAATCAACCATTCAAAATATTCTAATGGCTAAAACAATGCTATTAATACTTAGGAATTTTTTGTATTGCTTAATATTTTTAAAAAAGTGGAATTAACAGTCGTTGACTATAAAATTCTTAACCATTGAAGAGTCATGAAAAGAAATTCAAGAAAAAAATACTTGCAATATCAAAGAGGGCTTCTAAAAAGATTTCTAGAAATATTTTTCTTCTTCTTATTCTCAGTATAAACTCTAAACTAATTTTTAAATAACTAATTTACTTTTTGTATGGTTGGATGATTTATCAATGTTCTCTTTTGACGTATTCTCTCTTATTACCTCTAAATATTTGTGGTCATGTGATGCTTTTAGTGTTTTAAACTTTCAATATTTGTATTTGATAAATTTATCTATGAAATCTTGAATGCTTGAATAAAATAAAATATATTGTTGCACTAGCTATATAAGAATATAATTAAACATTACAGTTTGTATGATTTCATTACTGTTTTTATCAATATCCTACCTGCATTGTAGTGCGGGTAACAAATAAATATTAAACTACATAACCTGATAACACAGTTAGCTATTTCACTGGATACTTTTTTTTCTTTTCTTTTCTTTTAGTTAAACAAGCTTGGACAGCTGGATACTTATATATATATATATAGAGAGAGAGAGATCTGTCCAAGCTTGTTTAACTAAAAAAAAAAAAAAGAAGGTAAAAAGTGCAAAAAAGTTCATTCTATATTCTTTAATTTTTTCTAAGGTAAAGACTCAAAGTTTATTCTATGTTCTTCAGCTTTTCTTGCACGTTGAGCATGGAACAAACCAATCATTATCTCTTCTACATGTATTTCACATGTTATTAGTATTACTACCTGCAAATTGACGACATATATACTGCTTGTTCTGCATTGTGCACTACAATTGCTTGGGATATCTTATTAGTTATCATTCTTTATCTTGCGCATTGAGAAATGGGAATATGCCATCATACATGAAATAATAACAGGAAACATTAATCAAATACTATGTTTCAATTTTGCAAGCTGTCTTCAGTATTTTATGAAAAAGTGATTAATGTTTAATGACAATTCTTTTCGGGTTTATTCACAGTTCTATCATCTTACCACTTCAATTTATTGTCGAGAAACAGATCCTTTAAGTTTGATGTCACACTGCAAAATTTTATGGCTGAAGCTGTCTAAAGTTAGGGAACACATGTTCTGGACAAGGACAAAACAGTCAAAGAATCAAAGCTCAACTTCCAAGTAAGGTATGATTCTTGTTGCTAACTTAGTATTTAATAGATCCATAGTGATCTGTTCATAATATGCATTGGAAGTGCAGATAAATTCTTTAATTTTTTTTAAAAATATCCTTTGTTCAGTAAACATCTGTACTTCTAATGGCAGAAACACACATTTTAGTCCCAGAAAATGAGTGGTTGAGATCAATAATAAGTGATGAGCAGGGAGTGACCATTAGCCAGCTGCCAAGGCCTACAATTCCAAGGGTTCCGCTGATATTTAGTGGGATTGATCAATCCAACAAGAAATGTTATGAACCCTTGTTGGTCTCCATTGGTCCTTACCACCATGGGAAGCTTCCCGACTACCAAGAAATGGAGAATTCCAAAGTCACAATGGCGCGCCAATTTGTCCAACAGAGTGGGAAACACATTGAAGATATTTACAAAAAGGTGGTAGATTTGGCTGAACAAGCGAGAAGATGCTATGCTGAGGATGAATCATTTAAACTCGATGAATTCACTCGGATGATGTTTCTTGATGGTTGCTTTCTAATCCAATTCATGCACTGCCTACTTGATGACCATGAAAGTCTGAAGATGACTAGTCATGCTGCAGCAATGGTTACACGAGACGTGCTCTTACTAGAGAACCAACTCCCTTTTCTATTCCTCAAGTCATTGATGAATTTGAGATTCGGAAATGATGAAAAAGGGATGAAATTGATCAAAGATTTTATCAAGCACATTCGAGCAATGCCCCGTCAAAGAGACTCATGCAGGAAAAAGATATCGAAGTTCTTCAGCAAAACTATTAAACGACTACTAGCATCAAATACCAATCCAAAAGGCGTAACAGTGGAAGAATACTCTGATGCCGGTCATCTTCTTGAACTCTTTCATATGCATTTTGTTGGCAGGAATGTCCCAATTGAATGTTCACGGACAAGCGTGTACCGTTATCATCCTGCAATGGATCTTAGAAGGGTGGGGATCCATTTCAAGCCTAGCAAGACAAATCAATTCACTGATGTCCACTTCAAACCAACATGGCTAGCTGGGAGGCTCCAAATTCCTCCACTAACCATAGATGACTCGACAAAGTCGTTACTTCTAAACTTGGTGGCCTATGAAGCATGTACATCCAACCAAGCACTTTGGGTCACTTCTTACATATGCTTCATGGATTCACTGATTGATCACCCTGAAGATGTGAGAGAGTTGCGCTTACAGGGCATCCTTCTCATTACTCTAGGAAGCGAACAAGAAGTCGCAAAACTCTTCAACGAGATAGCCAATTATTTAGTGCCCAATCCTTACGCCTTCAATAAAGTTAAAAAGGGCATCGAATCACATTATAGGAACACCTTCAAGCGATGGATCCTTCATTACAAGGGTCCCATTTATACTGTGATTTTCAAGTATTCTTTTATTTTTGGCCTCATTATCAGTGCCCTGAAGTACGTCAAGGTATTTCCAACGGAACCCTTATATGGCGTCTGCAGAGTGCCCGCTACGAATGTTACCCTATACCCTTAACTATTGCTTTCTGTATGATCTTTTACTTTTTTGCACTCTTTTGTTTCCCAAAGTCGGGCTAGGAATAAAATGGATCTGCTGCCTGGTTCTTTATTTATTTGTTTGGCTTGTTTTGAACTGTCATGTATTGTATTTTTTTTTCTGAATAAATTCAAATCTGAATTCACAAAATAATGTTAATGGGATTGGAGAATTCAAAATCTCATTCTATTTTACCCTAAATTTATTTTGGAATGAAAAAATGATCTTCTAGTTTCTTTACAATTTTTTGCTAACAAATATTCCTTCTTTGTCTCTATCATTTATGATATGGATCAAATTCATGTCGGATTATTTAGTAAGACAAGTCATGTCAGGAGCCAAGCTATTTTTTTTTTTTTAATGAAAATCGAGATTTATTAAAGGAAAACGACATTTGCTAGCAAAAAGGTAGCTAATGTACAGAGTTCCGAACGCTTTACAACCAAGCTAGAAATTCAAACTCACTATCCACTCCCTGCTTGGTTAACTGGTCAGCCATGCTTTTGCTCTCTCTTAAGAGTGAGCAAAATCGCGTACATGATTCAAAAATTTATACATATTGGAGATTCCATTAAAGACCTGCTGAAGAGGTCAAGGCCTGCTATTACCATCCTATGAAACCAAGTCATTGCATTGAAGGAGTCAGATTCAATAAGCCATTGTATGTTAGGAGCATTATCATGCATGCAGCTAAAGCTCAAAAGCCCGCTCCAAGGCCAACACTTTCACTTCATTTGACTCTTCGATTTCTGTAGGGCTTGAAAATTCGCACAGAATCCTGCCTATATAAACTCGCAAAACCCCACCAATCCTTGATCTACCCGGCTATGTTCCATTTGAGAGTGACATTCAAGAGAGCTTTGCAAAACCCGAGCACCTCGACAAATTATTTTGGAATCGAACTCTTTGATCTGCAGTTAACTTAATACTACCTTCAAAGGGTTATTATAGTCTATATCATCGGTTGTTCACCACTATTTTTGGTTTTCTTCATAAACCTTGGTAAGTGCGAGTTACACATATTTTTAGGGAAGCCAATCGACCGACTCACTCGGCTTGTATACACATTCTTGAAACCTCACCTGGCGACTTAATCTTTTGGATTAAGATAGTTCTTTGACATGATATCGAGTCTTAATAACCAAATGGTTATGATTTAAATCTCAAACCCCCACTTTCTCTTCGATTAAACACAAGATAATGGTAGGTCTATACAAATTTCAAGCTTAAAAAGTTTTCACTTGAGATTGTATATTATAAAATAATATAAATCATATATTGGGACTTCGCCTAACAGTTTAAACTTTTGAATTGTAATGGTTATTTGATAGACTTATATTATAAACAATAAGGATTCATCATCCACGAAGAATTTTAGCTATTATTTAAGATAGCCACTCTTGCACCACCATCCAACTCTCCCGCATTGTAAACCCTACTATCCCTCTCATCCGCAATAGCCAAAAACCATCATCGACACCCTCCACTATAAACCCCATTATCCCTCTCCTCCACAACGACAAAAAGCCACCATCCTCCTCCCTCCAAAAAGAACCCTAGTTGCATCACCATCCGACCCTCCCCAAGCCCCCGCCAAACTATTTCTAGCCACTACTGACCCCTTATAATACCCAAATTTATTTCCTATGTATTATGTGTGTTTATTTTTTCAAAGTACGTGCATACCATGCTTGTGTTTATATTGTTGAGTGTTTGACTTGTAAAATTAAGGTTGCTAAGTATTATGGGTATAAGTGAATTAATTGACAAATTGAGGGATGTAGAAATATAGTTTAATTAAATGTCACATACATGTGCTAACCTAGGGTTTAAAATTTAATCGGTGACCTAAACATGTATTAATCTAGGAAATGATATCCCAATTAGGTGTTCAGTTTAAATTAAAATGTCTAAGCGTAACCCCATCTATCCCACTAATATTTTGCTTTCCAAAGTTTCAACCATAGAGGAAAACAAAAAGGGGAAATTTCTAAGGGTTTTCATTTGAGTTATTCCATTCATCCTTGATAGCTAAAACACCTAATAAATAAAGAGAGCTAGAAACAACAAGAGAAAACCCGAAATCTCCTAAGAGAAGTTAAAATATTTGAGAGGAAGAGAGAATTGCCTAGAGGAAGAGAGTTTGGCCGAGAGTCAAATCTAGACAAATTTGGCCAAGAGATAAAACAAGGAAGAGAGTAAGGAAATTAAGGACTTTCAAGGAGATTTATACCTCCATTAAACCTTAAGGTAAGTGCAATCCCAACACACCATAAGACTTAGGGTTTGTATATGTTGATTTGATGATTTGGGTGACATTTGTGTTCATGTGAAACCTAGAGTTTCTATGTTTGTAATTGAGTGATTTATGTTCAATTGATATTTGGGTTATGAAATTAATGAATGATTGGTCATTGCAATATGGTGGCATGTGTTTAATTGTTTATTGAGTGTGTTTAATATTATTTTCATGTAAAGCTTAGAGGTTCTAGCACTATCGAAAATTTGGTGTATAACAATGGATTTTTCTATCGCTATATGTTAAAAATCTATCACTATATACGAGTTAGCGATGGATTAGAGATAATAGTAAGTCCGTTTCTAATATGGTTGTCGCTATTTCCTTAGCGATGATATTTTTTTCACAGACTTTTGTTGCTAACTTATTAAATTTTCATCGCTAAATCAATCTAAAATAGTCATATGTACGGTCTTATATCCGTCGTTAGTTCCACTTATATCCATTCCTAACTAGTGACGAAGTAAGTGTTGTTAAATTATAGTCGTTGAAATCCTTGCAATTCCATTGCTAAATGAAGGAATTTTTAATTTTATTTTTTAAATCAATAGCCATATATTGTTAATTGTAATAAAAAATAACTATAAATAATATCTTATTAAAATATGATATGTTATTTACCAAAATTTAAATAGTATAAATTGAAATAAAATAAATATATAAATGTGTTTAGGTGTAAAAAAAATTAAAAACTTAAAAAAATAAATCTAGTTCACATCATCATCATCTCTTGCATCGTTTTCCGACGAGTTGGGTGTTGAGAGAAACAATTGATTCCTTAATTATGGGAGGGTCGGCGGGAAGGATGTGAGTATGTTACAAGTTTTGTAACAATCCTATCACCTGTCTACAACTCATTACAAAAAATGCACAATTAGCGATGATTAGTCCACACTAATTGGCTAAAATCCATCACTAAAGTAGCTTAGCGATGGTAGAGCGATAAAACATATGTCCATGTCTAAATCGCTTGTCGCTAAAATTAGCGACGGATAAGTCCTTTCCATTGCTAACATTTATGAATCCATCGTTGTTTTCATCGTGAGACCTATCGTGACTAACTTTGCTAATTCGTTGCTAATTCCATCTCCGAATATCGATCGATTATCCATTGCTAATATCCAAAGCTAAGGACGAGTCATCGCTGAATTGTCTCTATTTCATCACTATAAGTAAGGATTTTTTTTCACCGATCCTTCGCTATTTTTGTTGGACAAAAAAATGAAATATTTTTTATATTTTGTTTTTTTTTAATTTTTTAATTATTAATATTGTATGAAATAAATGATAATTACAAGTAATAACGTATATATTAAATATAAACTAATATCAATAATAACATTTAGTAGTATGTTCGATAAAAAAAAAAGTCACAAAATGTACGTGTTATCACTCATCCTGTTTGTTTAATCCCTTATTCTCTTCCTCATCCAAGTGTGGAGGGCTTGATGGAAGGATCGAGCCGAAGGCCTGGATAGGAGGTTGCGTGGAAGAAACGATGAAGTCTCGATCGGTCGATGGATCTATAAGCATCTCGATTATCCGTGCCAGCCTCATCACTAAAGAGGTCATTGTGTCATATTAAGATTTAAGACTATGTATAGTGCTCTATGACTATGTGACCATGTTCTAGAGCTCATCATATAACTTCTTTCGTAGTCTCACAATCCCTCCGAAGCTCGTCATTAGTAAGGTGGATAGTGTAATGCAACTTTGCAAAGGAGGAGCTGCTACCACTCGACCGGGACGGGTAATGCACCACCTATTTACCTACATCATATAGCCTTTTCTTCTTCTCCTTAATAGCCTCAAGGTATATTGCATTCTTGCCAACTTATAGCTCTAGGATTCCTTCCATCTCGTCGCATTGTCGTTATCTCCTAGATTAGTTATTCCATACACTTCTATGTAATCAAAATAATGATATCATCATTATAAGATTTAAATAAGATTTAGATTATCTTTTCATATTTAATATTTGAAATTGAAAAACACTTACCATTGTTTGTTAGGAGCTTAGATCGATGAAAGAACCATCTCGCCACTTGTGAGTCATTTGAAATAACTCAAAACTCATTGACTCACGAACCAATCTTGTCTCTCGAAAAAAGGCATTACAAACAATATGAGAACAAAATTAAAATTTTCTAAAACATGTAATTAATAATAAAAAGTTTGTAATTTACTAAGCGGGAGACGTGTTTTTCGCGGATATGAAGCCCTTTGTATGCTCGAAAGGACCTATACTAGGACCATTGATCTTTAACAAAAAATTTTTTAGTCTTTTTTAAAGTTGGCATTGTTTTTAATCTTACCCGGCACATTCATGATTGTATTAAAAACATTGTCAAACACATTTTTCTCAATATGCATGACATCTAAATTATGTCAAATGAGATTTGTACTTTAATAAGGTAAATCTAAAAAAATGCTCTATTTCCTCCCACACATCCGAAAGATTCTACTATTATGATCATCTATATGATCTTTTGTCACCTTCAACAACCGTCGATGTTCTATCGGATGTGACATCTTTGCTCTAGATCGAATTGAACAAGGGTCGGATTTAATTTTTTTTTACAGCGAATGCTTTCTTATTTCTTCGATATGGATGATCATGAGGAAGAAACTTTTAGTGATTGTTAAACCGGGAGGTCTTCCTTCTATTAGAAAGGGAGAA